CAGTTCACCCTGCAATAATTACATGTTATATTTATCAACTCACCCGTAGATTAATCAACTTTGCAGTCAAGAGAAAACTAGAGTTAGGGAGAAGAGTTCTAAACTAATTAGTTTAATTTGTTATTTATGCACTGTTTTTTGTTTTTTTAATCATGCAGTCCTCGACCTCACTCTATCATACCCTGAAACTGCACAATCCAATAACAATTTTATCCTTCTGGGAACTGTTCATTTCTGAGGTCCTTGTTGTGTATCTGTTCATATTATAAACACAAACACACACACACACACACACACACACACACACACATACGATGGTCTCAGTTGACAAATGTTCATGCACACAGCAGCAAATTGGCTGTTTGATGGTGACTGGAAGGATCAGCAGCATTTATTAGCGATAATATGGAGGGAATCAGATACTTGTCATCAGAAAAGATTATTTTTCCAGGACTGAGAGAAACTAGATCACCCAGATACCATGTATATTTACAGACACAGATATGATGTGACTCAACCACTGCTTGCTACTATATTTCCTGTGAGGAATGTTCAGTGATGAAAGCTGGATTAAGATAAACTATGGCACAAATAGGCCTAACATTTTAAAGCATTAAACCCAAACCGGGGGCTCTTGTTTTTAGAGGTTGGTATTTTCTTTCCCAGGATGTCCATGTTTCTTACTTTTTATTTAATAGAGGAAAATGAGATCTATTTTGTCTCTCATATACATACTTGCATAAGTATAGCATCGCCTCTCTGAAGTCTCTTTTCTGGTTGCCTACTCACTCAGTAAAGACTTATGAAAAGAAATGAGGGTTGCTAATTTTGTGACCTAAGAAAAGATCAAGGTTTCCCCTGGTCCAACTCTAGGGGATGATGCTCATTTCCATTTCCAGTATTGTCTGAAGACATTTTCATGATAATGTGGCGAGCGTGGCTATATGCCAAAGGTGTATGGAACGCTGTTACTTTCCACCAAAGTGGTACCTATTTATCTACTCACATTTACATGCTTTCAAATGGCTAAGTTGGCAGGAGGTGAAGCAAGTAATGGGAACTCACACCATCACACAGTGCTTGGGTCTCAAACATAGGATGTCAGCTTTCCATTGACAAGCTCAGTGTCTTTTAACTACTGAGCCAACATACCCCCTTGTTACTCAAGTATGAGTAATTAATTGAGTTTTCAAGTCAGATTTTTGACTCCTGCTTGGACTAGTTTCCTTGGCAAGGTTTTTTAGATATAATTTGCCACTGCCTCCTTCCTAGGGCTGAGAGAGAACAATTGGCCCAAGTCTGTAGAGATTCTCAAGTCATCCAGGTCATGGTTCTCCCAAAGGTGCATTTTCAGGAGCTAACAGGACTTCGTTTTTTTCTTTTCTTTTCTTTTGAAGACGTTTTGCTTCTTGGGTGAGAAGTAAAACATCTTCAAAAGAAAAAACAAGGAAATTGCCTCCTGAAAAAGCACCTTTGGAACAATTGGTCCAAGTCAAGTCAAGTCTAGTCTAGTCTTGGGTGATGATACAAAAATTTATGCCACCAGATAAAGACTGAATGCACCAATTATCACATTAAACAAGAGGAAAACCTTCTACACACCAATTCCACCCGCACTTTCTACAATTTCGTAAACAACAAACTAAAAGACTCAAGGTCCATCCCACCCCTGAAAGTATCTAATGGTAAAGACTGCAATGACAACACCATTAAAGTCAACCTCTTTAACACATTATTTGGCTCAGTATTTGTAAACAGCACTGGATCATGCCCAATATTTCTAGCCAAACCACAGAAAACTACAATGATCTAATACATATCGATTTTACAGAAGACAATGTTGAAAAAGCACTATGCAATCTAAAACCATCTCGATCTATTGGACCGGACGGAATATGTGCCTACTTCTTAAAAAAGCTATCCACTGCCATAGCAGAACCTCTAAGCATAATCTTTGAAAAATCTTTCAGGACCAGCTCCTTGCCAAAACTATGGTCACAAGCCACGGTCATCCCCATCTTCAAAAAGGGAGACCCCAACCTAGTTGAAAATTACAGACCAATCTCCTTATGCTGCGTCACCTGTAAAGTCATGGAATCAATTATGAACCAATCCATCATCCTCCACTTAGAGACAAACAACCTACTCTCCAATAAACAATTTGGTTTCAGAAAAAAAACTATCCTGCAATCTGCAACTCTTACACTGCAAAAACATATGGACTACACAACTCAATCAGGGCAAAACAATAGATGCAATCTACATAGATTTCTGTAAAGCCTTTGATTCAGTGGTACATGACAAACTACTCCTAAAACTAAAATCTTATGGTATCTCTGGACAACTGCATAACTGGATAGAAGCATTCCTGTCAAACAGACAACATATGGTCAAAATTGGGAGTGTCCTATCAAATTCTGTACCTGTCAATAGTGGTGTCCCCCAAGTCAATGTTCTAGGACCAACTCTCTTCATATTCTACATAAATGACCTTTGTGATCACATTAAGAGCAACTGCATTCTCTTTGCTGATGATGTAAAGACAATACTGCTACCCTTCAAAAAGATCTTGACTATGTATCAGAATGGTCAAATAAATGGCAACTTCAAATCTCAACAAATAAATGCTTTGTCTTACATATTGGCAAAAAAAAAAAATCAGAAAATAAAATACAAGCTGAATAGTCAAGACCTTGTTGATGATCCAAGCTCTGTAAAGGACCTTGGAATACTCATCTCTAATGATCTAAGTGCTAGAGCCCACTGTAACTACATAGCCAAAAAGGCATTAAGAGTTGTTAACCTAATCCTACATAGCTTTTTCTCTGGTAATATCACACTACTAACTAGAGAATACAAAACATTTGCTAGACCAATACTCGAATACAGCTCATCAGTCTGGAACCCACATTACGTATCTGATATTAGCACAGTTGAGAAAGTCCAGAAATATTTCGCAAGAAGAGTTCTCCACTCCTCTACTCATTGTAGAATACCTTATGCCACCAGACTTGAAATTCTAGACCTAGAAAACCTTGAATGATGCCGTCTTCGGTCTGATCTAAGTATGGTGTATAAAATCATACATTGCAATGACTTACCTGTCAATGAATACTTCAGCTTCAACCATAACAACACAAGAGCACACAATAGATACAAACTCAAGGTTAACCGCACCAAGCTAGATTGCAGGAAATACGACTTCAGCAATAACAGAGTGGTCAATGTCTGGAATACTCTACCTGACTCTGTGGTTTCTTCCCCAAACCCCAAAAACTTTAACCTTAGACTGTCTACTATTGACCTCACCCCTTTCCTAAGAGGTCTGTAGGGGGCATGCATAAGCGCACCAACGTGCCTACTGTCCCTGTCCTATTGTTTCTTTTATTTTTCTTATATGTACCCATTTTATGTATTCATAACTATGTATATACTTATACCTATTATCTTGTAAGCGATTGACAAATAAAAATAAATAAAATAAAAGTCCACTCATCTGATTTCATGCCCCGGACAGGACTAGCACCCAGTCTCTCTATTTCTAGCCTGATGCCCAATGCCATTTTTTTCTAGCCCAACACCAAACTGCCACCTGTAACTATGAAATATAGCTCAACTCTTCCAATCTATCTTCTCTGGTGATTTGTTTCATAGACAGTACAGTGCTTTAGTCTTCATCTTCAAACATTGCTTAAGCATAAGTAAGCTTCAGAATCCTGCAGATATGAGCAGATGACTAAAGTACTTCCATAAACAGAGAAAACTGTATTATGAGTGCCGTGCCAATGCGACAGTATTTTATAATCCACACTTATTTGTCTTCGTGGTGAAAGGTGTACAGAATTGCCAGATCAAGCATGCAGTTGATGTTTTCTCACAGAATTCTCATATTTTAAGTTTGGTGGCATTTCTTTTTCATCTCAGTAATTAATTGCAGAGTAGGAGGTTATTTGCAGCATGCATTGAAAACAGCCAAAACCTTGAACTGAACCCTTCTTGTTGTTTTGGTTCTAGTTTTCCTTGGGTGACAGAAGAGGCTATCAGAGAGAATTTCAGCACTGTATAAATATCTACATAGTGCAGCTGGACGAATGACAGAACTCCTACTGTGTTTTCCATCAGATCATGCTGTACCTCTCTTCACAGCAGCAACTTACATTTATCGAGGGCTTTTTTATCTAGCTAATAATCAGCATCTGTGCCAGATGCAAAACTCTATAAGAGGTGCAGAGCTGACCAAGATTGAGTGGGAATTGTCCTTCCATTTCTGTCATCCAGGATACCCTTGGTGTTGAATATTTCATCTGGCCGAATGCAAAATAGTTGGGAAAAACAAACAAACAGGAGCTC